CGCCGCAACGCTCCGCAGCCGCCGCAGGCAGCGGGGGAGGAATCATAGATGTTTCGCCGCCGGGAGCGCTGTCAGTTACCCTCCCTCCCCCGAGACAGGACGGAAAGAGGGGCATCCCCCTATGTTTCTGTAGGCGGCGAGGGGGGGAAGTGAGAAGGAGAAGGCCTTCTCAAAGGCGGCGGGACTTCTCAGGAGCCCTCGCGCCTTCTGAGAAGTGTCCTGCGTCCTCGGGAAAGGCTTGGGAAACTTCTCAGAAGGCCGGGGAACTGCCGAGCCCTCTGCGAATGCCTTCTCCTTCCCACTTCCCTCCATGGCTCGCCGCCGGCTCTGGGGCTGCCATTCAACGGGGCGAGGGTTGGCGGAGCAGCTCGCGTGCAGCTGGCTTTCCTGGCGCGCCCGCACGTGGAGGAAGGCGCTCGACGGCGGGGCTGGAACCGGCTGCACGCTGCAGATTTGTCGCAACTGCCCCCCTCACACGAACCCCTCCCGAATCTCGGGTGTACCGAAGAGGGGGGCCCAGAGAGAAGGGGGCTAGCGCAGAATGGCCCGAGGCATGTGCGAGGCAAAAGAGGGGTCGGGGAGCGTGCAATTAGAAAGAAGAAGAAACCGAAGAAGAAGAAGAAGATGAAAAGAGGGGGCCATGAATTCTGCAACATGTCATGGCCCTGGCCGTGATATCAACCATTTCTGGTCCTCACCCCCGCTTGGAGTACCCCTTTTTTTGGCAGTGTAAGAGCTCCGCTGAATTAGCATCACATGTAATGGTTGCCACTAGGCGGCATTACGAAAGGGGGCTGTGTATAAAGGCTCAAGACGGCACCGGCCCGAGAGCTGCTACCCCCCCCTCTCAGGCGCCACCGCCCTGCCTTACGACCAGAATCTTTTGCATAGCGTGTCGCGGCGGCGACACCAGCAACACGCTATGCCCTGCAAGCGTATAGCCGTACAGCGTGTCGCTCCGCTCCGCGGGGCCGGAGGCTCGGAAAAAACTTGAGACGTTGACGCTCGGGGACACTTGGGACGCGGCTAGCGTGTCGCGCCGACGCATGGTGGGCCCGAACTGGCGGCGCGACACGCTGAGCCAAAGCTCCCGACCGCCTTTTCTTGAACGCCCCCGCCCTTCCTTTAAACCCACCTGCTCGGATAATCAGGGATGCCTCTCAGCATTCGGGTCATGACTCAAGCCTCCGGCGGCCGTCTGGGACGATCTGGGCACCCCCGGGACGCTCTCGCCGAGGCGCAGCTGCTGGGAAGCGTCCCGAGGCGAGAAAACCCCAAAGAACCCGCAGAACGAAACTTCAACAACCTCCCCGACACCATCTGCTCCGACACCTTCTGGGATCGTCTACACGCATGAGTGACCCTGGACAAGAATGACCTTTGTGCGCGGCTTCTGGGGGGCGCGGGGCGACCAAACACGACCGCGCAGGACGCTACTACCGCATCGTGCTCGGCGACCGGGGGACCCCATGGAGCCGCACTAAAGTAACTAAAGGCCACTCTGGCGAAGGGTCACTCTTACGTCTAGTCGATGGGAGGCCAGAGCCCTAGACCCCATCTTCCTGCATCATTTCTCGAGCCAGACCGATCTGTGATGGTCCTGGGGCACGAAGTCGAGCGAAAACGCCCGCAGTGAACAAGTTGCGACGCCAGGATCTCAGGGTCTGGGAGGCCCCGGGCCGCCCTCGTCGCCCGACCCGATGGGGCCGGGGCCGCCGTGCAGGGCGCCGACGGCGCCCGCGTGCGCGTCGCCCGGCCAGCCGGTTCGGGCGGCCGCCGCCGCGGGGCCCCACGGCAGCGCCGCGCCGCGGCCCATGGAAAGCCCACGCCCCACGGGGGGGGGGAGGGGCGTCGCCGAGCTGCGGGCGGGCCTGCGCGGCGCGCGGCCGCTCCGGGGACCCAAGAAGCCCCAAGACAGCCCAAGAGGCCCCCAAGAGGCCCCCAAGAGGGCCCCGAATCGCCGAACAATCGGTCCAAGATGCCAACGATGGCCTCCTGACAGCCCAAGCGGCTTCCAAGACGCTCGAAGAGGGGCCTCCGAGAGCACACCGAGCCCCAATTGGCAGCATTGAATGACTTTCTTTAAGGTTTTTGGAAGATTCTGGCGTTCTCCCCTGTTCTGCTTCCCGACGCCCCAAGACGGCCCAAGATGAAACCAAGCTCGGCACGAGAGGCCCCCAAGAGGTTTCCAAGACGGCCCCAAAACGACCTAAGAGGGGCCCAAGACGACCTTAGAGGCCTCCCAGACGGCCCAAGATGCCACCAAAACGGCTCCAAGAGGGCACCCACACGGGATCCAGCACGAACATTTCGAGCCCTCGGCCCCGAGAAGCTCCCAGGAGGCCCCAAGAGGCCCCCAGGAAGCTCGAGGGGACCCCCAAGAGGCTCCCAAGACGCCCCCAAGATGCTCTCAAGAGGCGTCAAAACTGCCTCCAGAGACCTACGAGCGCGATCCGCGCTCCAAAGAGGCCCCACGAAGCATCACCGAGGACTCTGCCCCATGTCAGCGTCGTCGCAGCCGACGCCGTCGTCGTGGTCGTCCCCCTTCAGGGTCGGCGGTGCCGGCCGTCAGGCCTTCCCAATCCAGATGAGGACAAAAACTGGAATCTCTGACAGGAAGATGTATTGCGCACAGCGGCCATCCCACAATGTTCCAGAGCGCTTTGGGAGAGTTCCGGAGCGAGAGATCCTCTCTTCAGACCTGCCTGACGGGGCCCTGACGATCTTCGTCCTCCGCTTGCGATCGAGGATCGAACTTCTTGGGTGAGCTTGGGCCCCTCAGGGCCCCGTAGAAACGGGGACTTTGGTGAGCCAGGACGTTGGCGCCTCCTTCCCCCATCGGGGATCGAAGACCGAAGCTCGGGTATCGAAGCGCTTGGGTGCGTTTAACCCCCCCAGGGCCCTGTTCATGGGGACTGTGATGAGCCAAGACACTGGCGCATCCTGGAAATTCTGCCGCCGTGGGTCGAAGCATCGCCCACTCTCCGACTTCTCTGCCTGGATTCTGCAAGGTCCTGATTTACAGTGTCCCAGATTATAGGGCCCTCTGGATCCTGGTCCCCTGCCCCCCGGATTGGGGATCGAAGGCCGAGGTTCGAGGATGGAGGTATGGCGGGTTCGTGTCGTGAGGACTCTTGCGCAGGTCTCTCACACTGCGTTAATCGTTCAACCATTTGCTGTCGGCTCATCCGGGGCCAATGGTGGCGTTCAACCTGGAACGCCCTGTGATCGCCGCCGCGTCGACACGACACGAATCTACCGTACTTGGATACGTTCGGCCTCTTTTCTAAATGCATCCGTCCCGCAGAATGTGTGTTGTGTTGTGTCGAGGCACTGTTTCCCCAATGCCAGCTTCTGGGGGGCCATTTCCACGGCCCTAGGGACTATCAGAAACCGATCCAAGACGAACAAAACTACCCCAGGGAAGAGTTCAAGAGCTCTGCAAACGTCCAATAGAACAGAAACACAAAAACTGACCACTGGAGGTCCGGGTCTCGCCTCCCCTCACCCTGGTTCTTTTCCTCATCCTTCGCTTCCTCCTCCGCGCCCTCGAAATTACTTTGTTATGTTATCGTCTCTCTTCTGCTTCAGCACCAGCATGATACACAACAGACCATGCACAGAGCGGCAAGCTGCTCGCCTCACAGGGCGGACGCCATGGCGAAGGGGAAGCCCCAAAGGGCGCGCAAAAAAATAGACGAACAAGCCAGAGTTCAAGACAAACCAAGCGATTTTCAATCAGACGCGGCCCCACCATTCCGATGAATTAGGAGTTCGAGCGGAGGGGCTAGCTACTATATCCGACCCCTGCTTGCTGGAAGAAGCAAGAAGGCGTGTGAGACGATTCGCTGTCGCCCTTCCCCCTTTGCCCCCTCCCCTAATGGGTCGAACAAAACAACACTAGAAGGGGGGGGGTCATGGGGACGAGCTCGCCAACGCCTCTAGGGATCTTGGAGCCTCCAAATCCATTCTCCGTACCACCAACGATGGCCTCAAGACGGCCCAAGACTTTCTCAAGGCACCCCAACAGGGCCCCAAAGAGGCAAACAGTCATTGCCCAATTTCGGGCTTTTGAAAATCCAATACGACCCGAGAGGCCCTCCAGACCGACACGAGAACACCGAAGAGGCCCAAGAGGGCCCAGAGACGGCCCGAGAGGGCTCTAAGGTGACCCACGAGGCCCCCCAGAAAGCAAACAACACCCTGAAGAGGGCCTCAGGAGGGGTCCAAGAGACACCCAAGATGGGGAAGGCGCAGGGGCCATTGGAGCCACCCCCCACAAAATGGCCTTCCAAAACCCCCAACATAACATACCCACTCAAAAGGATGCACCCAAGAAGCCCGCCCAGCAGACGCGGAGGAAGAGAAAGACGAATCCGCAACAGCTACACGCAGGCAGCACGTGGGGAGATGTCAAACAACACATACGGATTTCTAAACCGCACAACTTATCTTCTGTGGCTCGGCGGAACGGCGCGCGCCTCTTGAAGCATTTCTTCGCCTCGCGGCGGCGAACGTGGCGGAAGGTATCGGAAGGGGAGGGTCAAACAACAAAAAATGCCTTGGGGGCGCCTGGGACACTGCGCGCGCGGGCCTTGCAGCACGTGGCAATAACTTTGCCTGCTTTGCACGAGCTGCTCCGGCACCCTGCGCGGCGGTTGAACCGCAGCCCCTGTCGCCGAGCTCCCCCCTGCCGCGTCGGGCCCGCTCCTCCCCCTCCTCCTCCTCCTCCTCCTCCTCCTCCTCCTCGTCATCTCATCCTTCTGTATCCTACTCCTCTATCCCCCTCCTCTCTCTTCCTCTATCATGTCCTACTCCTCCTCCTCCTCATCCTCCTCATCCTGCTCCTCCTCCTCCTCCTCCTCCTCTTCCTCCTCCTCCCCCTCCTCCTCTTTCTCCTCCAACTCACCACCACCACCGCTCTCATCCCCGTCGGGGCCGTCCCCCAGCGGAGGTGGATAAGCCTTGCCTGGTTGGGTCCACGCTGCCGCGCTCTTGGCTCACGAGTTGTTCACGCAGCCCTTGCCCCTGGTCTTGCAGCACCAATCCATCTTCATGGGGGACCAGGACTCCTTGAGGCACTTCGGGCAGTCGTGGTAGCCTGCGTCGCAGTCGTACTCGCGCTCCACTGGCTCCGGCGGTATGCCAGAAGGCAGGTTGCCAGACGGCGGTGGGAGTTCGGATGCGCAGCCCTTGCCGGCGACCTTGCAACAATAGATCTTCTTGGCCGCGGACCATCCGTGCACCCACTGAAATGGGCCCATGTCATTGTAACCAGCACTGCAATCGATGGGGCACGGGCTCGTCGTCGTCGTCGGGGGCGCTGCTGGGAGACGCGGCCGCGGTGGCGGCGGCGATGTTATTGTCGAGCAGCCCTTCCCAGTCCGATCGCAGCAGGATTCCTTCTTCTTGTCGCTCCACAAGTCCTCGTCACCTGCGTCACAGTCGATCGCGGTAGTTGTCGGATCTACGTGCGTGGTCGTCGTGACGACCAGCGGCGTTGTGGTGGTCGTGGTGGTCTGCGGCCAGAACATCCATGCGAGGAGGGGCAGCAGGAGCAGCAGGAAACCCAGTGGGACCAGCAAGAGGCAGCAGCTCGACGACGCACCTGGCATGCGCACGACGCCGAACTGCCCAGCCCCGCCGCCAACGTACTTGTACGTCGTCTGCTGGGCATAGTCGCCTCCTGGCCCCACGTAGCCTAACACGTCCGTCTCGCGGCCACTGCCGCAGCAAGACGAAGTGCCGCACTCCTCGCCGCAAACTGGGGCCCCCCCAGGGCCGGCGCCCGCGCCGGTGCCGCACGCGGCGGCGCAACAATCCTCGCTGGCGACGGTGGCGTAGCCGCTGCGGTAGCCTGCGCCGTAGCCACCGTAGCCGCTGCTGTAGCCACCGTAGTGCCCAGCGCCGCAGCCAGCAGCGGCGCCGCCGTCGCCGCCGTAGCCAGCGCCACCGTATCCCAGGCGGCTCCACATATCGCGACCGGGGCCGAGCGAGCCCGCGGCAGTGGGGGCCGGGCGGCGCGCGGGCGGGGGCAAGCACACTGGGGGGGGCGCTTGGGGGGGCCTCAAGAGCCCTGGGCCAAAATGGCCTGAGCCACAAAGGCTACGGAGCTCTGTGTGCCTCTGCCATGCTCTTCTCTCTCTCTCTCTTTCTCTTTCTCTCTCCCTGCTCCCCCCTCCGCCTCATCGCGTCGCACGGGGCTCGGCTCGCCTCCTGGGCCTCCGCTGGGTCTTTACAGAATAGGGACTTCGACGCCCCCCCCCCCGGCGCAGAGGGGGAGAGGCCGCGCGGCAGCAGGCATCTTCCTCGAGCGCTTTTCCGTCCTCTCGCCTTCACCCTCGAGCAGTCCCCTGCCTCGCCTCGGCCTCCCGTCCTGGCCTCCCCTTGCCCCCGCCGGAGCCCTCGCGCCAGGATGACCTCGGTGCCCAGCAGCGGCACAAACAGGCCGCCCCCCGAGCATTCTTCGACCGAGATCGGCGCGCAGATCCTTTCGGCACGCCGTGCTGCGGAGAAGAATGATGGGGACAGGAGCGGGGAAGATTTTTCCCCGCTCTCTGGTCTAGGCAAACACGGCATCACAAGATGAGCGAATGAGCCAACTGGGTGAACCTGTGCCGCCTAGCCTGGCGCGCCAGATTCAGGAGCGGGCAAGATCACCATCAACACCTAGAGGACTCCTAGATGGGGTCCGAGTAGATGGGGTCGGAGGATTGCACCGCATCGCCGATGTATTGCCGATGCATCGGTCACACCAGCGTGGGGAAAATCGATTGCCGCATCGAACCGCATCGTCGATGCATCGGCGATGCAGCGCGATCCACCGACCCCTATCTACACAGACCTGATCTGAGAGGCCTAGAACACCACCGTCCCAAAAGGCCCCCCGAAACATTCGAAATCGTGACCCGGTCGTTCAGGAAGACCGCGTCTGGAGGAACCCAGGAGGCCTCCAGAAGGCCCCAAGAAGCCATTGAAATCTTTCGTGAGGACCCCGAGAGGCTCTGAAAGGATCAGCCTCCGCAAAAAGAGCTAGAGAGGATGGAGAGGAAAGGGAATCAATAGCGGCGGGTAATGACTGACATTAGCATACCGACGATGTCGAAGAAGGCAGCAACAAGTTGTGGCCAATTCTGATTATTCGAGTTTTCATTCTCTGCCCTAGGTGCATGGCGCGAAGCGCCAATGAGCCTTGTATCGGGGAGACGTAAAACTCGGGTTCGGGGGACTCGGGTTGGCCTGATGGGGCCATCATGAAAATGACGAGACCCAGTCTGAAATTTGGCGCGGATCTCGCTGAAGACATCTCACGAAAACTGGACCGTTCACGTTTAGGAAGCGCCCGTCCAATGGCGCCGGCAAACCGGAGTTCTGGCGTACTCGAGTCTTACGTTGCCCCGATTGTACGATAAACTATCGAGATGTGTAGTTCAATATCTATAGATATATGTGTATATATATTATACATAGATGTACGTATGTATAGATTAACATGTGTACGAACATGTACGTGAACATGTACGTAGATGCAGTACTTATCAGATCACATGAGAACACGCATGCACACACAGACACATGTCCACACGTGCGTGCAGACGCACAAAGACGGCCAGAGAAGGGCGGTCTGAGCGCGCCGCCCCGCCCCTGGCGAGCACCTTCTTCGAGCCCCCTCGCCGGAGTGCAGCTGCAAGAAGCTGGGCAGGGGGACGCCTGCGCGGTCGCGGGGTGGCATGGCTCCAAGTCGGGTCGGCGGCAAAGTCTGCGGGGCTAGAACATATACACCACCACCACGATCTCCCTCGCCCCCTCCCTCTCCCACGAAGGGGGAGGGGAAGAGGAGGGACGAGGAGGGAGGAGGAAAGGAGGTGGTGATGGCGTATATTCTGGGGATCCGCACAGCTCAGAGGCAGAGGCCGCGTCGCCGTGGAGCCGATCGAGATCTCGAGCCAAAAAGGGCTGCGGTGGCAGCAAGACAATGACATGGGGGGCCCCAGGGAGTCCAGGCGCTCCTCTCTTCTTACCATCCTATACTTTCCCTCTCCTGCCCCCTCCGCCAAACCCCGTCCTTACGCGTCCTGGCCCGAGGATTCTTTCCGAAGTGCCCCAGGGCGCCCGACTAAAATTGATCTTCGTCGTCGTCGTGGAAGTCGTCACCGCCGTCGTCGTTATCATCCTCGTCGTCGTTGTGGTCGATTTGGTCGTCGTCGTCGTCGTCGCTCTTTTCAGGGAGCCTGAGGCGCTGGCGCAGCGCCGCCAACTCCGCCGCGGCGTCGGGGCGGTCCCACTCCTCGCCCGCGTCGAGGGGGGGATGCCGTCGTGTTTGGGCTGGCAGCAGGCTAAACAAATAGTGGAACCAACAACACTAAGTATCAATGCCACGCGGGTCGGACGACCCCATCGACCGTGTTACTGTCGAGAAAATACAAGGCTCAGGTACACAAACACAGATGGGTAACACGCACAGTGGGAAACACGACGCCAGTGACATTCATGCATGACAGAAAATTATGAAACGGTGGTGTTCTCAACTCCGCTTGTTTCACATGAATGTCGGGCTCCAGGGGCCGGTCGTGAGCCCCCAGAACCATCACACATGGATCTGCGATGGAAAACTGCACGCGGGGATTGAAAGAGTCAATCCGTGGAAGTTCTGGGAGTCCTCCAGCGTCCTGAAAGCATCAAAACGTTTTTCGCCGTCTTCGGCCCCCAAACGGCTCTTCCCACCTGGATCGTCAAAGAATGACTCAGTGGTCCCAGGCCGGGATCGTCAAAGAGCGACTTAGTAGGGGGTAATCCTGGGGAAGGGGTCGAGAGGACCAGAGGGTCGTTGCAAACATATCACGACACCTCCTGCGTCTGGAACAGGTCGCGCTGGGCGCTTTTCGCCATCTTCGGCCCCCATGGGCAGAATCTCAGCCCAGGATCGTCAGATGACGACTCGGGGTGTCAAAGGCGAGCCTCGGGGAATGGGTCGAAAGGTCCAACGGGGCCACGTTGCGAGAAGATCCACGTCGAGGACGCTGGGAGAGGCCGAGGCGGGGCGGCGGGGGACACCCGACCTCCAGCGTCGTGCACGCCCAAGCGCGCGCCAGCGGCCGCTGCCGCGCTGCCCGGCCGCGCCACTCGTGGCATCCCCGGGCGTTGCGCCGCAAGGCCTGGGGGTCGAGCCGAAGCCCCAGCCGCCCCTCGCCGAGCGCTCGGGCGCAGCGCGCCGCCCCGGACAGGGCGGCGGCGGACTCGGCCTGCGCTCGCCCGATCGGCTGGGGGCTCCTCAGGCTTCCCCCCCGTTTTTGGCAGTTTTGCATCGGATTTTAGGGGAAGCGCCTTCTCGGAACGAGAAGGCGCTGGCAGTTTGTTAGGCCAAGCTTTCTAATAATAAACGAAAAACTAAGACGCGAGGGACCATGGCCGCACCGCTGCAAATATGTTTCGCTTGGCGGATTCCCCCTTTTTGGCAGTTTGCCCTAGGGTGTTTGCATGTTTGTCGGGTTTCCTCCCGTTTTTGGTAGTTGTCCCTCTGGTTTTTGCATGCTGTTCGCCATTTTGGGCAATTTTCCTTTGGGTGTTTGCATGTTTCTCGGGTTTCCCCATCCGTTGTTTGCCGTTTTCCCTTGGGTTGTTGCATGTTTTTCGGGTTTCCCTCCCGTTTGCGGCAGTTGTCCCTCGGGCTGTTGCATGTTTTTCGGGTTTCCCCCAAGACAGCTCAAGAGCGCTCCAAGAGAGCCCAAGACCGCCCAAGACGGCCCAAGAGGCCCCCAAGAGGCCCCCAAGAGGCGCCCAAGGGCCGTCCCAAGAGGGCCCCAAGAGGCCAAAATCCATAACACATCCCGCACGCACGCCGTACTTCCCCCCGCCCGTCGCCCCAATAACACATCCCGCACGCACGCCGTACATCCCCCCCGCCCGTCGCCCCCATAACACACCCCGCATGCACGCCGTACACCTCCCGTCCCGCCCGACCAGCACACCCCCTTTACGCACAGCCGCACACTCGCGTGCAGCCGCACACAGGCACACACAGACACACAAGCACACGCACACACGCACGCACACGCACACACGCACACACACACACACACACGCACGCACGCACGCACGCACGCACGCACGCACGCACGTACGCACACACGCACGCACGCACGCACGCACGCACGCACGCACGCACGCACACACACACACAGCACACACACACACACAGCACACACACCAACACACACGCACACGCACGCACGCACGCACGCACGCACGCACGCACGCACGCACGCACGCACGCACGCACACACACACACACACACACACACACACACACACACACACACACACACACACACACACACACGCACAGACACACACACAGCGCACACAACTCACACACAACACACACACACACACACTACGTGCAAACGCCACGCGCAACACCTGACCAAAACAAACGCAAACAACCATCGGGACGCATTCCGCTTTGCGTGCGAATCCGTGTGCCTGCGCACGCAAGCTAAGAGAAGCGGCGCTTCCCGTTCTTTCCGGATAGGTCTGCATGTGTGTCGGGTTTTCCCACTGTGTTTGGTCGTTTTCCATGGGGTGATTGCATGTTTTTTCGGGTGTCCCCCCCTCGTTGTTGGCAACTTTCCCTCGGGTGTTTGCATGTTTTTCGGGTTCCCCCTCCGTGTTTGGCCGTTGTCCACCGGGTGTTTGCATGCTTTTCGGGTTTGCGGGAAGCGCCTTCTCGGAACGAGAAGGTGCTGGCAGTTTGTCAGGCCAAGCTTTCTAAGAATAAGTATAAAACTAAGACGCGAGGGACCATGGCCGCACCGCTGCACATATTTTTCTCTTGGCGGATTCCCCCTTTTTGGCAATTCGCCCTAGGGTGTTTGCATGTTTTTCGGGTTCCCCCTCGTTTTTGGCAGTTTTCCTTAAGGTGTTTGTATGTGTTCGGGTTTCCCCCCGTTGTTGGCCGTTTGCCGTCGGGTTTTCGCATGTGTTTCGGATTTCCCCCCCGTTTGTGGCCGTTTTCCATCGAATGTTTGCATGTTGTTAGGGTTTCCCCCCCAAGACGGCCCAAGAGCGCTCCAAGAGAGCCCACGACCGCACAAGAAGGCCCAAGAGGCCCCCAAGAGAGGGGCGTCAGACTCAAGGAAGAGGAGCAAGAGGAGGAGGAGGAGGAGGAGGAGGAGGAGGAGGAGAAAGGGGAGGATGAGGAGGAGGAGGAGGAGGAGGAGGAGAGCGAGGAGGAGGAGGGACGAGGAGAGGGAGGAGGAGGACGAGGAGGAGGAGGAGGAGGAGAGGAGGAGGAGGAGGAGAATGAAGAGGAGAAGGCGGAGGAGGAGGAGGAGAAAGAGGAGGAGGGGGGGACCAGGAGAGGGAGGTGGAGGAGCAGGAAGAGAAAAAAGGAGGAGGAGGACGAGGGAGGAGGATGAGGAGGAAAAGGAAAGAGGAGGAGGAGGAGGACAAGGAGGACGAGCAGGACGAGGGGGAGGAGGAGGAGAAGCAAGACGAGGAGCAGGGTGATGAGGATAAGGAGCAGGAGAGCAGGAGGAGGAGGAGGACGAGGAGAAGTAGGAGGAGGAGGACGGGGAGGATGAGGTGGAGGAGGAGGAGGAGGAGAGAGAGGAGGAGGAGGAGGTAGGAGGAGGAGGAGGACGAGGAGGGACGATTGAGCGAGGAGGACAAGCAGGAGGAGGAGGAGGGCGAGGAGGACGAGGAGGAGGAGCAGGAAGAGGAGGAGGAGGAGGAGGGAGGAGGAGGAGGAGGAGGAGGAGGAGGAGGAGGAGGACGAGGAGGACGGCAAAACGAAACTTTGCGCTCGGGTGTGCTCTGGTCGTCGGGCTGTGGCGTTGGCCGGGACTCTCGACCCTGTCCCCTTGGATTGAGGAGCACTTCTCGCTCTCCCTCTCTCCCTCCCACCAGAACAGAACAGGAAGAGGGGGAGGAGCAGGTCCCAGGGAAAGAATCCTGAGGTCCGGGGGCAAGCGCCTCGGCTACTTGAGTGAAGCGGCGGCGGGTCGAGGTCCACGCAATGCTTATATAGCGATTTCGGGGTCCACGCAATATTTACATAGCGATTTCGGGACCCACGGAATACTTCTACAACGACTTCGGGACCAACGGGATATTTATATAGCGATTTCGGGGTCCACGCAATACTTATATAGCGATTTCGGGACCCACGGAATATTTATACAACGATTTCGGGACGCATTCCGCTTTACGTGGGAATCCGTGTGCCTGCGCACGCAAGCTTAGAGAAGCGGCGCTTCCCGTTCTTGTCCGGATAGGTCTCCTCCGTCGCTGAGGCTTCTGAGGCCTCTGAGGTCTCCGAAAGATCCTCCGTCTCTGGGAGCTCTTCCGTCTCTGAGGCTCCATCTCCTCCGTCTCCGTCTCCTCCTCCTCCCTTATCTTCTTCCTCCTCCTCCTCCTCCTCCTGCTCCTCCTCGTCCTCCTCCTCCTCCTGCTGCTCCTCCTCCTCCCCTTCTTGTTCCTCCTCTTCCCCCTCCTACTTTTCCTCCTCCCTTTCCTCCTCCTCCTCCTCCTCCTCCTCCTCCTCCTCCTCCTCCTCCTCCCCCTCCTCCTCCTCAACCTCCTCCTCCCCCTCCTCTCCCCCAACCAACGCTATGCATGGCAACCGTCAGGACATTAAAAGAATCCTCCGATTGCACCCCATGTGCGCAGATTTGTGTTGGGTGCATGTCCGTGCGCAAATGCGCGCGAATTCAGAGAAGCGGCGCTCCCCGTTCTTGTCTGGAAAAGGTCTCGGCATGCGCGCGCGAGACGACGCGCGCGCGTGCACTTCGTCACATTTTTGTTTGCAAAATGATTCATGACAAGTCATGAATGTTTGATAAACGAGTGCGCTCGCATATGTTTTTTTTGCAATGGGCGGGGGGGGGGGGGGGAAATCGATATCGGCTGGACTGGGATGGTACGAGGTCATATCTAGGATGGGCGATGGGGCAGAATCGTACATTGCAACGTGAAATGGTGTGCCGATCAAGCCAGGGGGTAGAGTATACTTTCTTTGTGGACAAAAGAGAACCCACCTATTCTCAAATTGAAGTTGCCTGTTCCACAACTCGCGCAAACATCCCGCCCACCCGCCCGCAACTTGGTTTGCAAACCCTTTGCGGCGGCGATTGCGGTGAATACTCGGCGCTGGCTGGTGCATCTCTGCGGCCGCGACAGCCCGCGCGTGCTCGCGCGCGCAGCGCACGGCGAGTTTTGGCGCGACGGACGCAAATGCAATGGCAACGCCGACAACGCTAGACACGATGATGATCGTAGCGATGCTGG